TTAAGGTCCCAGTCGCTACTCGCCAAAGTAGTAGGTGGAACAATGTTTTGTATAGTATGTTATGCCAATTGAGCTTGATGTCCCCTGCGACTATGGTTCCAAGCCCGCAGGATCAACTACTCGGTAACACTCATGTATTTTGATTGTTGTTGCAAAATTATATATAACATAGCATTTACCTAAACATCTCATGGGTGTGTGTGTGTTTGTACAATCTAGTAGCATCAATTATCTTGGTTAAGCTGTGCACACTTTCCTCATACTTGGTACTACCTTTTCCATCATCATAAGTAAAGAGTGACTATTGTCTATAGAATGAATTCCCCTCCCTCCCCTTCACCCCTGGTCCCCACCAAAGAACACTGATTTCTGTATATATACGCTGTTCTTTCTTGTTATTTTGTAAAAGTAACATGATACAATAATTGTCTTTTTGCAATTGACTATTTCACTCAGCACACTATCTTTTAGGTTCATCCATGTTTCAAGATATTTCAGTAACTCTTCATTCTTAATGACTGCATAGTACAGGGTAAGACTTTTTTTGTTTGTTTGTTTTAATTTTTATTGTGATTTGGGTGAAAGTTTACAGAGCAAATTCATCTTCCACACAGCATTTCACATAACTTTGTCTTGTGACTTTGACTGCAATTTCCCACAATGCAACAGCTCTCTTTCCAGTTCCTCCCCATAGTTACCTCTTCCCTGTGTCCTTCCCTCCCATGCACTCCTGCCCCTCAAGCTGTCTCCCTGTGCATATACAGCCCTTCTATTCTCCCATGATTGATCTCTCCAAGGAGTATATCTACCTAATGTAAATGTTCAGCTCATATGCCTGTCTTTTGTTTGGCTGGAAGCCACACAATTGGGTTCAATTCCAGACTTGGCTAGGGGCCATAGTTTCAGAGGTTCCACCAGGCTCTAAAAGACCAGCAAACATGGTCCTTTTTTTTTTTTTTTTTATGATTTTGAGTTTTGTTGCACATTGTTCTCCCACTTTATCCAGAATCTCTTACACAGATACCCTTCTGAGTGATTGACAGTGGTAGCCAGGCACCATTAAATTCTTCTGATCTTAAAGTTGTATAGGCTGAGGATCTCATGGTGTACCAGTCCCTTGTTATATTGGTTGAAGAAGGGAGGTCAGGAGGAAAGAATAGTTAGAACACAGAGCATTTTTGAGCAGTGACATTATTCTGTAAGATACTGTAATGGTGAGTACATGGCATTAAACATTTGTAAAAACTCACAAAACTGTAACACAAAGAATTAATCCTAATTTAAATTATGGACTTAATTAATAAATTGTATCAATATTGGTCCATCATTTATAACAAATGTATCACAGGAATGCAAGATGTTAATATTAGGAGAAACAGTGTGCAGCTGAGAGGGAGGTATTGGGAACTCTTCACAGTTGCTACATAATTTCTCTGTAAACCTAAAACTGCTCTAAAAAAAATAGTCTATTTTTTAAAAACATAGCTTTATACATATCCTTTTTTTTTTTTCCATAAGAGCATATTAAAAAACCAAAAACCAAAACCACTGCCATCAAATCAATTCTGACTCATAGCGACCCCCACTGGGTTTCCAAGCAGTGCATCTTTATGGAAGCAGACTGCCCCATCTTCACGGAGCAGCTGGAGGGTTTGAACCACCAACTGTCTGGTTAGCAGTCAAATGCCTTATGCACTGTGCCACCAGAGCTTCTAAGGGCATAGTAGTCAAGGAAAAGGACAGAACATTTTTTATTGTTTTAAATTTTGTTGTTGTTGTTATGTGCCGTCGAGTCAAACCTGACTCATAGCGACCCCTCCTTGGGTT